AAAGGACCATTTCCTCTAAAACAGAGATTAGGTTATATCAAAGATTGGTTCATAGCATTGGCATATCTGCAAAGGCTTTATACCAAAACACAATTGATATTTAGGATACAATAGCTATGGAATGGGGGCAGTAAATTGATCTGCACAAGACACTTTTTTTAAAGGGTCAGTTTACCCAAAACTGACATTTCAGTTTTGGTAGATGCTGGACAGTGTAAACACCTGACCACTATTTTAAACATCTCTCAGGGGCTCTGTTGCTGAGATCTCTGTGCTGGAATTCCCAGATCTGCAAACCTGCTGTGGCCATTATGAGCGGGTCCTTCTCACCCTGCTGAAAATATTTAGGTATTTTATATTTTGGAAAATGCAATTGGAAGTTCTGGAGCATGTAAAGATGGGCGGGAACATTCATATCTCCTAGGTGAACAAAAAGTTGAGCCTATACCCATGGCAGAGAGATCTCACTATTCGAATATCCAGGACATATGAGAAGCCAGGAGCTAACTCAGCCCACCAGGCTAAAACAGCTAAGATATAAATTTTGGGTGGACTGAACCTGTAAGTAATTTAATTGGCAGACACGGCAAGCAACCTCTCCTCAGACTCTCTCAAGCTTGAAATGACTTATAAAGCTGTTGGTCAATTGAGTCCACAAGGGTTTAGGAATGTCTATGATCAGGAGACAATACTGAGTTCAGTAAAGTGTAGTCTACACGCACAATTGCTGTATGTACCCCGAAATTCCTTACTGTATGTGATCATCAAGGGCAGAATATGGGCAGCCTTTGCATGTGTCATCAATTCAATAGAATTAAAGCTAAAATGTGTCAATTTCTCATATCTAAGTAAAAGATTCTGGTATATATCTCTTCTTTAATTGATGTTCACTGGATCATACTGAGCCATATAATATCTGCCTTCCGAAATACCTCAGTACAACATTGCCAGATGATCTTGCCAGAGTATTTTTTTTTAAAGTAGTATTGTTAGAGGGGTTATAGTGGTAGTATCTTTAGTCCCAGAATAGTCCGTATATGTACATGTCTGACAGTGCTATCTGTCTGTCTGTCTCTATACATGTACACAAATAAATGTGTAAATAAATGCCATCTACTGTTATGGCAGTTGTACAATAAGGGATTTCAGGATGAAACTATGAAACATTGAAAAGTGTATGTTCACTTCTGCAAGCCATACATTAGAGTTCACCACTGTGTTTAATCCTCTCTCCTCTGGAATATACTAATAACACCAGAGAGATCCTCTTAATCATGCCAGCTATTAATCACAAATTATTTTCAGGACTTCCATTGATTAAATGGACTCACAACAGTTCCCTATTAAGAATGGTATTCTGACCAGCTCTGCCCAGTCCTGACACCTCAATTTACCTGACTTTTACTGAGCCCACTCCGTTTCCAGATTCACAGCATGATCATTTACTGTGCTAAAAAGTGGAAAAACTACTCCTAAACAAACAAAAAAATCCAACACACGTTATGCGCATAGGTTCATATGTAAACCCCCATTTACATGTGAGTGTTTTGTTTTTCCTGAAGCGCCACAATGCTCAACATGAAGCATCCTTGTTTCTAAAAGGTGCCTGCTCACACCTAAGCATGGTGTTGCCTGTAGCTTCTGCGTTATTTGCCCTTATAGATTTAAATTAGCCCCTGAAAAAAGTGCATAATATGTATTTTTCATGCATCTTTGCCCCTAACAACCATCTCTTGCTCCTAGTAACTCGCTTTCCATTGGCAAAAACAAAAATGCTATGCCTGAGAACCAGTTAAAAACGTGTAAAAAAAGCTTCTATTTCTGGATACAAAAACAAGCCTCCCCTTGCAGTGAGACTACCCCCACACTGCAAGTGTTAACTGCTCATTTTTGTCTAGGTGGATTCTTTAAGGCAGATTTGCTTACCTAATTCCCACTCTCCCAGCAGTCCACACTCCACCCCCCCCCCCCTTCCCAGCTGTGGACTGTTCCTCGGCATCCCCACGTGTAATACAGGGTTATGCATTAGAGGTAATGATGTCAGCAGTCCCCCGAGAGCTGGAGGGGACAAGAGGCTGCAGGCACCAGTCTTGGAGCCTGCAGGAGTGGGGATCAGGTAAGTAAAACTGATTTTCTTAAAATCCCACTAGACAAAAATGAGTGGGGAGGTTTTTTGTTATCCAGAGATATCCTTTAAGCCTGAAGCAAAGCATATGTCCAGTAATATTACTCAAATATACCACATTATGTTCGCTTTTGTAAAAAATAAACTTCTTTATTGTACCCTGAACATTATTCACACACTTAGACACAATTTATAAATATCAGTTGATGTAACCAACAGTATTTATACATTAAATGTTTCTTCTACACTACTGATGGAAATAAAGAACCACGGAGGTGCTACCATCACAAATGCACTTTAATTTTGCAACCTGCAATGCAACAATAACATCTGGAACCTGACTGGCTAAGGGGAAATGCCTCCATTTTTCTTTTTGTTCTCCTGTCAATTAGCACCAATGTGTTCCATGGTTGAGGGGCAAGCAAGATTATCTGTAGAAGTGGACTCTCCCCAGCAGTCTACTGTAAGGAGTAATGATGGCCTGGCAGGGGTTAAAGCATTGTATGGCTGGTAAGGCCCCCAGCTGAAGTGATGTAGCAAAGAACAGCTGTGAAGTAATTCTACTAATGATGAGGATAATAAGCACATGGCAGGGTTCAGGGCTGGCTGCTGAAGCTTCACTGCTCCTGAATAGATAGAAGTCATTAAATACCCTTGATTATCTCTGACCAATATGTAATGGGTTTACAGCCCTTTCAATTAGTCAGTATTTGCCTAGGACTCATTATTTTGCCTTTTCTTAAGTAAGAAGTCCAGCGGTTCACTGTTCAGTGGAATTTCCGCTCAGCTTAGTGGGCACAGTCCAGTGACCTTTGGAAAAGTAGAATCTCAGAGGCAAAAGTAAGTCCTGGTCATGCACTGGTCTGAATGGATAAAGCTGGCTACTCAATTCACCTTTCCATCTTCTGACCCTACAAATGAAGATCAGTAGAGTTATATTTGTCAAGTGTTTTATCTTTGCACAGTCAGTTCATCCTCCACAGATTGGTTTTACATATACTAACTATGGACCTCAATAGTATTAATACATTTGTCAATATGTACTGGGAATCTCTGCTGCCACTATAGATAATTATGCTGATGTAATTTGTGGAAAGCTTATCAATTAAATGAATGAAGTACAAACATCAATAATAACACAATGGAATAACACATAGAGAACTAATTAACACATCCAGCTAAAAAAAAAATAATCGAAAAAATCTCTCTCTCTCTCTCTCTCTCTCTTTCTCTGTCTGCCTGTCTGTCTGTCTGTCTATCTGTCTGTATCTATCTGTTCTGTTGAAGCTGACCATTTAGGAAACATTTAAAGCATTCAGCATTCATCAAAATGCTGACAGGTTTTTTATTTTATTAATTAAAAATACTTTTGTTTTCCCGCTTGTATACTAGAGCACTCCCACCTTCTCATTCCTCAACTACGTCACATATCCCCCGGAGGCATTACTTTCCACTATTCAGAAAATCCTGCGATATTGCAGCATGGCACCATGTAAACAAAGTCAAGGTGCCAGATCTCTGTCTCCGTCTGCGTTAGATGTGGTGCTGTGTCATTGGGGGCCAGCTGCAAAAACCAGAAGGAGACAGCTGTCTCCCCATGAAGCACAAAAGGAAGATGGCGACGTGAAATGGAACCTGTAACAAGAGAGCAATGCGAGAAAACAGGACAACACTGGATCTGCTTAAGCTTGTAAATACATTTATGCAGCATAAGAAAGTACCAAAGGTATGGCACAGAAGGACAGGTAGAAGTTCATGTTTAAGTAATATAGCCTGGTCAAGGGCCCCAATCTGTGGTTGGACGATAAAATAACAGCAGGTCCTCCCTGTGTTCTCCACTCCTGTAAGCATGTTCCCTGTGTTAAAGTTACATCAATGTTCTGCACTGCACTACTTTAATAAGTAAGTTGCATAAAGCATTCAAGATGCACTAAAACATTCTGATACACCATAACAAATTCCTATATCTAAGACTGCAGCAGTCTGTATTTTTACGCAACTACGACTCAGAATAAGCCCCTCTAGCGGAGAAACAGCAAAAATATTACATTCCAAACCAAATGTACATTCTATTCTGGCTACTCTAGTTCTATTATACCACACTAAAGAGCTCAGCGAGCTTGGGAAACCTAACAATGAACTAATAATGAATGACACGGTCAAAGTAACTGACCAACAATGATAAGCTAATGAAATCTGGTCATAAGCCTATTCTATTATCTTATTAGTCTGTCTAGGTTGTAAACCAATGGCAAATGTACCTTAAGCTTAAGAATACTTTATACAGCAAAACAAGCACTACCACATGGTACATATACCCTGGGCAGTGGAGACCTCCAAGAAAGCTAAAAAAATTCACAATGTGGGCACTTCAGAGAACATATATGTACTATTAAAGAATTCCATAGTATTTGAAAATCTGTGATATAGAGAAGGCTATGTACTGGCAGTAAAGGTATCTGGAGGCTGGTCAAACTCAGCATGCATGCTATTAGGATACCATGAACACCAACAGTAAATGCAGGTACAGCTACGGTACGAATAGCCGATGCTGGTATTGGTGCAGGAACTGTGAATGTAAGCAATGCTGAGATGACTACATTTTAACAATATACCAGACAACATCATCCCTCCTCATGTTATCTCTATCACTTGAATATTACACACAGTTCAGGATATGTACATGGTTCACAACTTTCCTGGTGCACCCTGGAAATGGACTCTTCATAAAAAATTCATTCAGCATTACAGCACTGAACTGTGCATTCCCAAAGCACAACGGCAGTATGGATTTTTTATAGGCTTCTTTTAACTCTTCAGTGTCAAGAACAAATGTACATTACATTAATGGCAACAGTGGCAAAGAAAGACTTACTGTGAGATGCTGGAAGAGCCACGCTCTCATGATATTTGTTGCTACTTTGGGGAATATGCCTCTTTTCTTTTGTCTTTTTTTGTCCTTGTCTGGGTCATCATCGTCCCCTGTGCCTGGAGAGGCTACACTATTATCTAACACATCCCCTGTGGAAAGAGAAAAAGAAAGAGTCTACGTCAGACAAGTATCTTCAAGAAAGCTATACAAACTTTTGAAAGTTTGGAGCTGATTTATTCAAGTAGTCATTTTCTCCCAAGTTTGGCCGCTCATACACAAACAACAACAGTAATTAAGACACATACCCCCCCCCCCCCCCCCCCCCCC